CATCTCCTCTCCTCTCATCACATCTCCTCTCCTCTCATCTCATCACATCTCCTCTCATCTCATCACATCTCATCACATCTCATCACATCTCATCTCCTCTCCTCTCATCTCCTCTCATCACATCTCATCTCCTCTCCTCACATCTCATCTCATCACATCTTCTCTCATCTCATCACATCTCCTCTCATCACATCTCCTCTTCTCTCATCACATCACCTCTTCTCTCATCTCATCTCAGGTTCAATTCATTCACACGGAGCGAGCAGGACTCACAGGGAGTGTGACTGGTGAAGAAGAGGAAGGACACTCCAGGATGAAGCCTCCACTTCCCCTGCTCCTCCGCCTGACAGAACACAGCGCTGCCCCTCCCACTCACGGCCCTGTGCAGCTCCTGGATCAGGTACCTACACACACACACACACACACACACACACACACACACACACACACACACACACACACACACACACACACACACACACACACACACACACACACACACACACACACACACACACACACACACACACCTATATACTCGTATGTATGTACGCATAAGCATGAAGCACCGAGGAACATTTGCAGCAGCAAATACACACCTGACACACCCCCTTCTTGCAATGACTTCTGCATGGCTGTCATTAAGTATTTCACCTACATAAAAGACAGAATCAAGGAAAACTCAAATTAAAGAATTGATAAAAGATTGTTTTCATTGTTCATCATGCTGTAATGAATGTCCCACATGAATGTATTTGTTTTATTCTAAGAACACATAAATGCAAGATTTCAGTGAAGATTTTAATCAATCCTCACTTTGGACTGCAACAGGGTAATTGTAAAAATAAATATAAAGAACATATCCTGTGGTGACAACCTTATTTGTTTGTCCTGACAAAATAAACTCTCTGTTCCTGCTAAACACATACAAAAGACACAAAGGTCACAGCAACAGGAGGACATACCAGAGGGACTCATGGCTGTCTGTCCGATACATTTGGTCCCCGTTCCCAGGGAAACAACCTCCTTCTCAACTGTTGGAGAAAAAAGACTTTGATCACATATTTAGTCCGTACACATGCTTCACATTCTTATATCCTTTTAAAAAGATGTTCTCTAAATGATAGGCAAAACATATTGTTCATGTAGTCATGTTCCTGTGCAGTGTGTTCTGGATATAAAGGGACAATGATATTGCTTTGAGTACATTTATTACGTACATGCTTCGGAAGTGATGGAAAGTAATTACATTTATTTTCATTTTGTGCTAATTTATACTTCTACCCCAAAACATTTTGGAAAAATATTGTACTCCCCTACAATTATTTCACAACATATGTTACTAGTTACTTTTGCAGGTTTATAATATTCATAAAAATAAAGAGTAAATTAACTGATACACTTTGATGAACTGTTATGGATGGAGATATCTAGCAGTATAAACAGTTGTTCATGTTATCTCATCCTTCAGCTGCAACTTAAAATGACATTAATGCATCACTTATTATAAACCAATGATATAATATATATTATTCAGAAAATGACCACTTTGTATAAATAGTATAATTAGATGCAAAGTACATTTTGCATCTAATCAGAGGTGGGAAGTCACTAAGTACTCAAGTACAGCACTAAAGCACAATGTTGAGGTGCTTCTACTTTACTTGAGTATTTACATTTTTTGCTACTTTGTACTTCTACCTCACTACAATTCATAGGAAAATTGTGTTTATTTAATATTTAGTAGCTTTACATATTTTGAGTGCAGGTCATGGTACCGGCTGGCTGTACAGCCGTCATGACGTCAGCAGTACGTCAACGTTCTCGCGTTGCATTGACGAAAGTAAATGTTAAATTTGGGTTGCGTTCCGATAATCCAAAAATCAGCTCCTAAATTCTAACCCTATCTCCTATTCCTTGACCTCTGAGTGAAACGTCACGGGGTTAAGGGATAGTGGATAGGAGAATTCAAAAGGACTTAGGAGAAGATACTGCAGTACTTTAGAGAATCCGAATGCACTTTCACTATCTGATGTGTTTATGATGCGCAAGCGGACGTCATTGTTTGCGTCTGCTGCTGTGGTGAAACTATGGAAACTACAGTGTTCTATACAACGGACTACAACATGGATGTTTAATAAGAACGAGGGACTCATCTAGAGACTCTGCACCGTGCTCTGATGCTGTTGTTTTATGCTTTATGAACGTGGACAACAGA